ACGAGTGTGCTCGACAAGAAAATATAATAGCAACTTGCTTAAGTAATGCTGGTGAATTGACAAAATCAATTTGTGTCAGGTGTTTGATTTTATAAAGCGCTTTTGTGTTGGTTTGCTCACTGGATTTAAAAGCCTTGCTTGAAACCCGCGCCATTCGACCGACGCACTCCGGTCTGGCCTGTTCTTTGTCCTCCTCTTTCCTCCCGCAATCTCGCCTTCCTCAAGGCACGCCCGTGAGTCTGAGGGCAACGCCGACCCTCCTCACGGCCATCCCTTTCCTATCCCAGCTCTAGCTCTCTGAATTTGCATGCGGTAGTCTGGAATACATCCGGTTCTACTATCGTACGTCTGGTATCTAACCCTGATGGTGTGGCTATCTAAGAGGGACGGGCTAGCAGTTACTTGCCTCCTTGGGTCTCCGCTCGTTAGGCGCGTTGCATGTTTTCTGACGCAGAAAATAATGTGGTTTCGCAGAACAGGGCTGGAGAATTTACCTGAACAAGATATATGATAAACCAAGTTAATGTATGCAGCGCCTTTGGGACTAAAAAATACAATTATTTTCGTTGTATTTACTGATTAATATTTTGAAGCACAGGTAGTCTAGTGAGATTTACATGCCTCTAGTGATCTCTTTCAATAACCGCTACTACTAGATTTGTATTTCATGTTGATTACTAAGCATGTCTCTGTTAGGGCGTACCAAGGTATCGGCAGTCTTGTTAAAACACGTGGAAATTCCCGCTTTTAGAATGCCTAGGCAATATCTTTGTTAGAATCTTGCATAAAGTGATCCGAGGGGCTTCTCATGACGTTTTGCTACATTTTTGGGTGCTCGCTCTGTTTTACCAGTTATGTCTTTATTCACAGTGAACTCACACTGCCTTTAACGTCACTCGTTCCCCATGAATGAAATTCTACAATCTGCTATCGTTTTTTTTTCATTATGATGATAGGAATACCGCTTTGGAACTTCTTCAAATTTGTCCCCGATTTTCGACTTTGTGCTGCTCTGAGTCATCTGCTGTCTGCATTTACGTTACACCCAAACATGTTTTTGTTCGGTCATTGTCCTATAACCTCGTGGTAGTTCTTTTATCAAAAATTTCTCCTGTGCCACTTTTGATTGGTGTGAAAGTGCAGAATCCTGCTGTGATAAGTTCATGTTTTACTGTAAGTCTTGGTCTTGATAGCTGTCCGCAAAATTCAACACTGGGTGGAATCGATTTTGGCGCAAATAATTTTTAGGGCAAATAACTTTAAGAATTTTCTCATAATAGTTGGATTTATTGTCAACAGTGAATTAAGTAGCAAAGCATTTAAGCACCTGCCGTTTTCACGTATCCGCTAATTAGTGATCAATATTGAATTCAAATCGTTTTCGGCAGAAGTACTTGAATTACTCTCGAATACAGCTAGTTTGACATGCGTGGACATCCCTAAAACAGTTTTAGAATAGCCGATTTTTGACAACATGATGTATTGCTAGATCTGCGAGCAAGAATGATGCCTTCAAAGATGCAAAAGTTCAGAAATGCTGTCCATTTGATTTACAGATGTGTCCAAACTAATTTTAGCCAAACGAGCTAAGGCTGTCAGCATATGTGGAAAGCTTAATTCCGCACGTAAGCGGAATTTGTTGTTTAATCGTCTTTAAGAGGAAGATCTGCCCTCCTAAGTTGTTGGTACAAATTGTGACGCCCGGTTGTTCACTTACCTTATGCGTGTTTCTTTTGGATTTTTCTTACGTTATAGGAAGTGATGGATGACCCCTCGAGTCATTGAGAAATCGTTGTTGATGGTGTACCCTCTGTAGCCAGATCTCAAGCCCTTGACTACGAGGACTGGATGGCATCTAACGGTAAAGTTAAAGGTTACTTGCTTCATTCTTAACTCTCCTCACATTTTAGCAATATATGTGTGTTGTCAAAAGTTAGTAATTGAATTTTTCGCACAAAAGCTGCCTGCGTTGCTGCTCAAAAGGAAGATGAGGCCGCAGTGCACGGTCATGTTGTGACTGTTTCAGTTTTTCAGCCATGGCACTACCTAATCCGCGGTAAACTCACCGATCACATCGATCCGCAATACTTTCATGGTGTTCTCCCTCTTATTGAACAATACCTAGTCAGCTCTGGAAACCCTGTGTAAAGAGGTTAAATTGAAAATGATACAGGTACTGCTGACTCAAGTGTACAAGGTCCCCCTTCACCCAACGGCAATTACCACTCGATCAGTGAAATTTGAACAGGAAATTCCAACGCTAATTCTAGATTGTGCAAATCTATTGTATCCGTACAAATATAGACTAGGGTGTAGATTTTGTAGCTTAAAATCAAAATCATTTTTTCATGCAAACATTATACCTTGCGCCTTTATGACTGCACACTCATAGAGCTTCTGCTGCCTGTCAGCATAGAAGGCGAGCCAAGCGCGATTTCAGGTTTTCAGCGTTGGTAGAGGTGTTGTCACGCAAAAGAGTTTTGCAAACCAACATAAGCAGCGGTCTATTTGGTGCGAAGTCATGTCTGCGAAAGTTGGAGTTCAACATCACTGCCCAACCACATTACGGTATTCCTACATGGGTTACCAGATACGTGCAAGGCCTCTATATTGATTTGCTGAAATACTATTCCGTTTTATTAATTGCTGATAACGGACATGTGATTTGCGGTGAAAGTTTGTCGTAGACATTAGTTTCTTGCTCCTCGTGCTAGAATGGACCCTAAATTTACAATTAAAAACAAAATTACCTTCAATTTACTTGTTGCGTAGGCTAAAAGTAGTGTTGTAATGAAAAATTATAACATTGATAGAAGTACCTCAAGAGAGCCGCAGCGCTGTCTATTCGTAGACTCGAGGGTGCTTTTCTGCCAGCCCTTTGAACGCATGAGTTCTATTGAAGGTTTGACCGACCCCTTGTTATCAAAAAGTGCACGTGCTCTTCTGAAGGAAATGCGCTCAGTGAAAAAACAAATATGCAAGCATTCTATCCAAACCGCTGAGTTGCACCTCAGGGTGTTACGTGATAGGACCAAGGCTGTTCGCGTGAAGCATGCGCAGACCTGGTTGGGTGCAATTGACAGGGAAATTAGGATGTGGTGTTCGATACCTACCGTATGAAGACATTTTTACTGAAATTGAAGTCAGTAGTACCATACATCCGAGCTGACTTCCGTCAAATGATTGAAGGCAAATATTGAGCATTTCATCGATTGTTACTTACATTATTAAACCTTCTGTCAGTAAATACTTAGTAAAGGCAGCGTTGCTCCAAAGTCTTTTGACTTCTCAATCCACTAATATAAAAAAATTTGATTTAAAAATTCTCATCCTCGTTGATGCGTGAACTAAGCACTTTTTTCGACGAAGCAAAACTCTTAAACTAATTATGGTCGTGGCAATCCAAATGTTAAAGTTCATTTGATCTAAGGAAGCATCTGGAAGTACTCTAGCTTTGCTCTGTCATCCGTGCTTCCATAACCTATACCATGGCTTACATTCGTTATTGTTTCCCGCAGCAAATAAGTTCTACATTGTAGGCTTCTTAGCTCTCATCTCCACCATCAATTGGAGCCTAATCGGATTTCGTGCGAGCCCACCGCCCTTCCCTTTATCTCTGAGACTGGGCAAGGATAGTTCTGAAAAGCTGTCTCTATCGGGATTTCAAATCCATGAAAAAGGCTAATTTGGATAGATTTCATCATATGCACCTGTGTGTAGTTACGAAACTTTGACTTCTTCACCACAAAAGACACAAGGAAGATCGATCACTTGAGTGCATTAAAGCAGCTCGGAACGTCATAAAAACGTGCGTGTCCCTTCCTGAAAGTGAACCTATCTATAAAGCGTATAAACAATGAGTAGGGGCTGGAATTGGGACAGGCTGGAGGAATGCCACGTCCGCAGAGTGCACGAATTCAAGAAAGGGCTCTTAGCAATCCAACACGCACACCTAAACCGAGCAACGTGGTCAATGTTACACTACGTGGTCCTAACTTCACTTGTGTGACTTGCTAAGTCAAGTTTTGACTGGATAGAATGTTAACTGATGGTTTATGCTATGGCAGTGATAATTTACACAAGAACCTTGGCATTGTTTGCGATATCCACCCAATCACACCGTGTCATTGAGTCAAAGGCTGCCAAGCTGTACCTTCGTAAATTTATTTCGCTCAAATAATACAGTTCTTAATATGTACCCAGTGGCTACGCTTCTGTTCTTTCTTGGACCCATTTTCTGCTGCCGTTAGAGCTGCTTTCTGAAAAGCCCTCAAAAGTACTCCAACTGAAATGTCAACACTTTGCATTCTTTTTAACTTAAATAGGGGCTCGTGAAACCGTCTACTCCTCTATGATAACGATAGGCAACGCCATGGACGCTTCAGGCACTTTTCATAAGTGCACAAAGTAACCCGACAAGTTGAGGCACGGCACCATCTGGATCACTGGATTGTGAAATCTTATCAGTGTCACATCGGCATCAGTTCGAATTTAGGCCTTGCCTTTTGTTACGGTTTTCCAACACGCAGGTGCAGGGCCCCAAGTGCGAATAGCCGAGCCCCCATAATTTAAGACACCAAAACCCACCCCCACACCCACACCCGCGTCCGCACCCGCACCGAGACAAAATGAGGATGAATCAGCGCCTCCCCAAACAGGGCCAAACAGGGCCTCTCCACCGGGGCCTCTTCACTGTCCCAGTCGGGTGCGCGTTCACAAGCGCCCACCCATGTTTGGCGTGTGCGGCCCCAAGTGCAATGGAGAGTAATAGTGCACACGGTGATTAATGGGCCAATAGGCAGGGGACGGCCGCTATGGGTACACAGGAAGGAGAATGCATAAACTCGAATAATAATTAAAAAGAGACTGGTCAGACGCCTGAGAAACGCGGTTTCGAAGATGACTATTACCCAACACTTCTCAAGCTTTTCGTGTTATGAGGAGTTGAGTTGTACAACGATTGAACAGCGAGTTCAAAACGGCAGTCTGCTTTTGTTTAGATGGATTCACACGGCTCCCTCCGGTAAACATTTCCTTTAGTCGACATGTCCATTCGCAGGAAAGAAGTAAGAATAAAAATCGCGAGTGAAGCAGATTAAACGGGTTAAAAAGTCCTGTTGCAGAGCCGTATAACACTAAACACCCAACAGGGAAGTACAGAGAGTCAATCGTTTATTCGAGAACTCGACTGAGTTGTTGTTGTGTGTGGCGTTTGTGTATGTGTATTTATAACTCTGATGGGTGAAACAGCGTGAGTCATAGATGTGCTAACAGCAAGATCTAGGTGTTGTGAGAATTCAGGATAATCATTCGCGCTAATGAGGGGAAGTTGAAGTTCCGCGCGGCCGGCGACATGCTGTGAAAAGGAGGGCTTTGGTCGAAGGCTGGAGCAATGGGAATAGCGAGTGTGAATCAACGCGATTCATGGCAGTCCTCATACATGGCGACTATATATTTACCCAAGTTTAAATGATTCTACAACTCACATGGAAACGATTACACACTTATAGACATCTCCCTGCATTCCCTTGTTTCTTGTTGTTCCGACCTAAGGTGCTGTCTTTGGCTGGAAAGCTGTCCTGATGGGCCCGGAGATGTCTACAGTGTTGGTTTGCAATTAGATACGGTAAGTATAGTTGGATTTGTGCTTGCAGGCCACCGTTCCATGTGTATTACAGACTACCTAAACATACAACCCACCTGATTTTATTACATAGCTTAGGGTTAAAAACACAACTCAATGAGAACCAAGTAAACCACAGGATCGTGATTACTGTGCTCAGAGCCTGACACCAGACAGTCAAGTAGTCAAGTACAAAACATGGTTTTGCTCGATCACCTCATCCACACCACCTTTGTTTTTCAAAGGTGATGAAAACGTGACATTTTACAGTCGCTTCATCAGTTTAATTCCAATTGGTGCTTTGGGCCTAAGAATTATACACAAACACCTTTGCTTCCATAACTTGTATTTATTGTTTGTGAAATTGGCAGTAGCGTGGTGGGGGCGGGACAAACGCACACAAGCCTCAACCTGGCAGCGCAACCACAACACGAGGCGGCGATCGACTAGTCGTCAGGGCTGGCCTCACCGCGGCGATCACGCAGAGAAACATGCTCAGACAGGTTTGTGTCAAGGCGCCCATCACCTCTCCCAATTGTTGCCGTGAGGACACCGCAACGAAGCGGCAAGCGAACAAACTCGCTTGCCACCCCCACCCCCCACTCCCGGCCGAACCGTGTTGTCACGCCTCTCCTCCCCCCGGGGTTTTGACAGGCGTTCCTCTGGGCTGCTCAACAGCCCCGCTCCTGCGAGGCTCCCCATCCTCACGCACTCCACCTTCGATTTGTGTGCTCTACTTGCGGTTACCTTCAAGCTGCTTTTCTCCACTGAGTCCGCAATGTCGCTCGCTTGAATTGCTCAGACTCATTTCGAACTTTCCTACCAGAAAATAACTTGGACTCGGATTCTAGAGATTGCAATTGCGCATAGCATTCAGAAAGATATCCCCCCTAATGCTCTGCCTCCTCGTAAAACAAGGCAAATGACTCCGGTTCATGTTGCTCACGCGGTCTTCAGAATTTTCAATTTGTCTGCACCTCCAACTTTCTTCTTCAATTTAGTCGTCGCGTTGTCGGCTTTCCTTTTCCCCCTCATTTCACAACCCCTCATCCTACTTCTTTGGTTTTTGTCATCGCAAGTGATTCACCGTGAGCCGTGCCTTAGTCGCTCCGACTTATTTATTCTTCACTGGCATTACAGCTTGTTTTCATTTCTTCCACACTGAGCTAACTTTAAATGTGCAAAATTAGGCGGACAATTGAGGCATCGACGCCCGGCACAAAAACTGTTGAAATTAACTAAACATGTTTGGTAATTAGGAATGTCCTCTCTCTTGATGTCGTTTACAAGCCACCATTTAATGCTCAGAAACTGCAATTCAACTCACCTAGTCCCCTGTGCTGTTCAGAGTCGTTCCCCTCAGCGCAGTCGGTCAAACTGCCTTCTTCCCTCTGGCCGTCACCTAGCCAGTGTCCACGTGGAAGTGCAGCGAATTTGGCTTGGCAATGTCTTTAACTTCCGAACCGCGCCCAACTACCGTGGTACGCCTCTCTTTGCAAGGGTTGGCACAGCTACGTCTGGTGTAAGGCAGTGGCACAGCTAGGTCCGCCAGACGTGATATTTCAATTCAGGGCATTCTTTTCGACCTACCACGTGATGTTCGCAAAATCCACACCTTAACAACATTCACAAAAATCGGCAGTTGCAAGACAATTGAAACGACCAAAAGAATAGTTCTTCCACAAGTCCAAACACCACAGGGCTGGAAGGATCCGCACGGCACATTGCGAAGGCAGCGAATTACAAGGCGGTCCTCACCAGGGGTGTCACCGAGTACGTGCATAATGCTCTTCGAACGTAATTTTGATACTCCACGACATCCGAGGAAGCAAAGCGCCCCCTCCGAATACATCACTTCAAATATGCTGCCGCTCTGCTAGTATCTAACACTCGTAGAAACATCAACTCGCTTGTCCCAGTAATCACATACTAAATTGCAAAAACTTTACCCTTAAATGATTTCCTTGTAGTAGCAATGCCGCACACACCCGCTAAATCACCTCGAGGTCAAAATCTGAGCAGGCCAACTGTCGGGTCGCCTTGGCACCACAGTGCCTATGTTCGAACTGTCAAGTGCTTTAATTAGTGCGTTATTGAAAATTTAACCCAGTGGGACACGTATTGAACAATGCTCCAGGTAAAAAATGCGTTTCGACGACTCAGACGCTTGAAGGCGTGCCCTGGTTTGCCGACTGGCCCAAGTTGAACAGACTGCCGGAGACAACACTGGCCGCAAAAAGAGTTAGACGGTAAGAGCGAGACTCAACTCTAGGATGGAACCGTGACCAAACCAGTGAGCACAATGATAACATTAAGGTTTCTGGACAACACCAGAAACTGGAAGTCGGTTCAAGTCTACAGTAGGAACCAACCAATTGTTAAAGACTTGAAGCATTCGTGGTAGCGCACAATTGAAGGATCGTCTCCAGCAACATGGGGCGGTCGCTTTCTAGTTTTCGTCTCAGTGGACCTACTAGTTTATGCAGCGGAAACGCGAACAGAACGCATTGGATCCGGCCAATAAACATTGACGTACGGGAAGATTGCATGTCAGACACATGTGGCTATTCGCGAGACATTGGGGTCTGGCCAGGCCCTGTCAATCACACACGATGGAAGTGGGGCCGGAGCACCCACGTGGTCAGAGATGGGGGAGAGGAGGGGAAGTACACACACCCAGCTTCTGCATGGTCATTCAAAGCTGCGGTCACGCACCCTCAACCCACGAACCCCTGAAACGGCATTCACATTTGTGCTAGAAATGCGACTCCTCCAGCCTCATAATTCGCTCGGCCTATAAGCAAGGCTCTCATACGTGCACTGAGCGCTCTCAATCAAGTCCGATTTCGTACAATAAAAAGGCCCCTGAATTAGGGGGACATGTGGCCTGAGACGACTAAGTTTTACAAATGCCAATCTTCCGCAGATAGTGCATGGCTCCCCCCTCAGGACACGGAAATACAGAACAGGTGAACTTTATAGAAAATATTTGCGCACAATTAAGTCTAAACATGTAGAATAGATCATTAATTTTTGATGTGTAAACCGAATGACACAAATGTAGAAAAAATACTCGCCAAGGTGTGAGTTACTTGAGCGAAAGATTATTGTACACTTCCACTAAGAGGCGGTCGACGGGATTACTGCCCCTGAACCTGCCCAGCGTCCCGCCTGCAGCGCTAACGCTCGAGTCCCAAGCACTGACAGGCGGTCCTGAGAGATTTTGCGTGGTACCCGAAGGACGCTGAGCGGACGTCAAGGCGCGCATCCTGAGGGAGGCGGCGGCGTTCTGTGCCGAGAGGGGGCAGTAGCGAATGGTGTGAGCATTGTCCCCCGTGGCTGTGCACAAGGGGCACACAAACCGACGCAGGACCGGGCACATGACACGACCCGCCCTGTCCTTCACCTGCAAGCAGGAAAAAATAGGACCGATGCAGAGGGAATAATGAGTGATTGTAAATGCAGGTCAAGGCATCGACAATAATTTCTAAATTCTGTGATTTAATAGATTACATCTGCTGGTAAGGTGACACAAAAGTAGACGCACAATCCACTGTTAAAGAACGAAATCCCTGTCCCAAGTGTTCATATCGGGACCCGGTAATTAAATGAGTCGCCAATGTGTTATAGCTTCGGTATCAACACGATCACAAACTAAATGCCTGTAAACTTCCGCACTAACCGATTATTCTTTGGCCGAGGACATTTTGGGTAGACTCTGACGACATCTATTTGATTGGTAAAAGAAACTCTAAAGAAATTAATGAATGAGATCTGTCAGGTCGGGACTCTGGTCCCCAACATGACACACGCTGGTCCAAGCATTGAACTAGAAGCACGCAAAGTAAGATATCTCGATCTGCTGTTTACTAAAAGAAGTCAGGATTCATGCAATGTAGACGTCCGCTTCGGTGGCACCCATCTCACATTCCGCCACTTGCTGCCTGTAGTACAACAAATATTCCGATTTGTGCAAATGTGCATACCTCTCAATCAGCTGCTAGAAATGCGATTCTACTTTCGAGCGCTGAGTTGTATCATGCATCAGAATGTGCCACGGTTAGAAAATAAGCCTCGAACTGCAGCCCTTACTCAATGACCGTCTACACGTCGTCCAAAGGTGGGGAGACTACTAATGGAGTTGCTGACTTTCATCTGTCAGAAGACAGTGTAAAAACGAACCATTGACAGCTGGCGTGAACAGCAAAAATGGGAGGAAGGGATAATAGTGTCTACTCGAGCTCACGGCAAGCAAACTTAGTGTCTAACGACGAATGATGTTCACTGCACACTTCATTAGTCAAAATGAAAGAGACTGACTAATTGAACTTGCACCGCAGCCTGATCCTTATAACCCGAACACAAACACATGAAGACTCGCGAAGTAGAAAGCCAATCAACAGGCTTGATTATCTTGTGCAGACTTTGGTGTTATTTAATCCTCATTTCCTCGGGTCAAGCCAAAGAAAAGGAATTCAGTACATTTTTGGTGTTCACAGTGTCGAACAAAACAGAGTTTTACAAATCTGGCATTCTAAAAACGTAAGTAGTTATGGCCTCGTGCGTTACTCTGATTTGTCACATGGATTCACTCAGGATATCGTTAACTAGGCTCTTTGTCTGTTTATGTTAACCTTCGACGGGCACGCCTTACCTTGTGGCTTGTGTACATTTCGAAGGTTTCATTGTTGTTTCGGCAGAATACGCAGAGATCCATATTCGCCTCACTGAGATGGCGAATCAGAGGAATCAGCTGGCCAAGGAAGTTGACTAGTCGAGAGAGCACAGCACTCCCAATCGGCATTCCATGATCATAGTGCGTTTTAATTCTACAACAGGAGCAGTTCGATTAAGGCAGGAGGGGCCACTTCACAACAAGTCTATTAGCTTTCTGAACCGTCTTACGACAATCACGCGATATAATAAGCCAACATAAAGTGAAGCATATCTGTTGATTTCAACGAAATAATCAATCACTCCTTAATTAGTACGTACAAGTGCTAAAATGTCGACAACGAAGACAGACAACCAATTCAGGTAAGGTGATGTCGCTATATGGCATATTCAAGCTCTAGTTTAGCCACAGTTGGGCTCTTCACAGAAAAGAACAAATATCAGTGTTTATTTAGGTCCACTACGTCTGAGGTAAAAACAACGATCGCACCTATACCCCGCAGCACCGAGTAGACGAAAAAACAGTTGAGTGATGGGGTCATGGAGACCCCAGGCTTTGCGGTTTGCATGGGTGTCCATTACCGAAGACGAAGCACCGTACGCCCCACCGACCTGAACTCGGGCAAAGGAGGATGACAAACGTGGCTTTTGCACCATAATATTAAACGGTTGAGTTTGTCATTATGGGTTAAAAGAACCAAATCTGAACGACCACAACAGTAACTAAAAACGTTGACGCTTGGATGGGAAAAGTGTATCTGTCTGAATCCTATTATCAAACCTCCACTCGTGGTAAATCTGAAGAACCTCTTGAGTAAAACCTAACACCAATACAGCTCCAAATGACACGAATTCCACACTTGTTCAGGTAAATGAAAAGTTTCGGACCTCCTAGTGGTCGTAAATCAATTTCTTCTCGGATGGCCAACACGTCAGCACGAAGAAACTGAAGTCCACCACGCCGGGTGGTGATTGACTGAAGGATAAGCCATCGCATTCATTTAGGGACATAAATAGGGAAAACTTGAAAACTTGTGCACTTCTAAAACTTGATATTTGCATTTGATCAACGTGGGAAAAAGGCTGTAGAGGCCAAAGCTGCAAGTGAGATATGCCCTGTGTGAACAGAAGATGCTTTACCAGATGCTGGGCTTCAAGTCTTAGCAAAGGCAGACTGTAATCTTCCCGCCAATGAACGCTCTGGTCGGTGTTTATTTTGACGGTCAACTAAGCCATATAAGTAAGTGAATATAAATTAAGACCCGGTGATCCGAGGAAGGCCACTGTGGAGCTGACAACTCGAGGCGAGCGCGGGGTGGCGGCACACCCGTCCTGTTTTACTGACGGGGCCCCAGTGGGAACTGGCACCTCTTGCAAGACGACCGACGACACCCGAAGAATATACGTATGGTTAACCAGCTGGACGATTGGATTTCGTATAAACTGATCAATGGACAGGATCAGCGGAAACCAATAATTTTAAGCCCAAGGCTGGCATTTTTCTTGAAAAAGTCGCGAATCACATCGAAATTGCACCACCACAGGATTTGCGGAATTTCTGTAAACTATGTGGCGAGCAGTAAGTAAGCACAGCAATCATGAGCGGACGCCAGTAGCAAGCATGAGTGAACATGATTAAATTGATTTACAAAGCGATGTTTGGGCGATCCTACATAAAATGGCTTTTTGCGTTGCACACACACGCCACTACCGCATCAATAAACTGGCTGAGCTGCGCGCCATCTGCATTTCTACTCTTCTTTGGACGGACATTCTCGACGCAGATCGTCGGCCTCGGTGTGGTTCCCAAAACCGCACTTGGGACCTCAACAGCTACGTATGGTGAGTCGGCGACCTCCTGTGCAACCGGACGTATTTTTGTTGTCGCCTCGTGGAAATGAGGAGGTACCAGTGCATCCCACCACGACCAACAGAAATTGATCTCATCCACTTTAACGATAATGCATGACTTTACCCAGCTAGAAGCTTTAAAAAGTAGGCTCTGAGATCCTGTTGTGTCTACCCATGCTTGTCTGATTATCTGCCAACAGTTAATCACGTAATCTGTGGTGTGGAATGCTGCGTGTATCCTTTTGCGGTGTAGAGGAGGTGGAAGCGTCATCGAGCTGTCCATTGTCTCTTACGGAGATTGTTGCACGTAAACGCTCGAAATGCAAACAGCCGAAGTGTGGAAGTGCTTACTATAGCCTTAAGGATGACCTATTGGTAATTATTTTACGAAGTTGCCTCAGTGATTCCAAAGGTAAATCCAAGCTTTGTTTTCCTACATATCTAACGCAATCCCTGCACGACCGCGTCGCCAACAAGTGAATTTGTTTGGCCGCCCTTGTTACAGCCGGCGCAAAACGCACACGGCGACGCGTCAATCAGCGCGTTCGCGGACGCCTCAGAGGGTGAGGAGGCGAGGGGGGTGGGGGCGGTCGGCAAGCGAGTGCAAAGGAGGCCTTGAAAACAAAGCCACAGAGAACGACCCGGATGTGTAGAGTAAAAAAAACAATGATTGGCAGGCTCAAATGCACAAATGCGCACATCACTATCTGTGGGGCTGAGACCAATGTGCGGCTGAAATTAATTGCCAATTTTGAAAAGGCAAGGGATAGCCGAGGATGACCAAATAAGTGCATTTGTCAACTTAAAAGATGATGAGCTAGGAGGTACATGGCAGCTCGCATCTTTTCGTAATTTTCGAACATGCCAGTACGAATTATTTGTATTGCCGAAGAGCTTCGGATCACATCTAACCTCGCAAGACGTCGACCAGGAGCTATTCAAAATTAAGTTGCTTGGGTCACGCTTTGATTTCTGTAATCGTTTGGCTGCGGTTTCACGACCCCGTAGAGAAATCCCCAAGCGGACAACACTGGCGAAGCGCTGGTAGCGGAATGTTGCGGAATTCAACAAGCAATAGAGATTAAGAGATACCAGTGTGGTGGAGCGAATTGCATTCTAAATGGGCATGTTGGGGAAGGCTACACATAGCTTGATGGAATCGAGCGGTCACTGCCCATTGTGCTAATTCCAAACAATCAGGTTCAATGAATGGTTATTTGGCCACCTAGGATGCAACTACGAGCAGTACATTTACAACTCTAACTTGGGGAACCCGGCTGTATTCGGAATTGCAATCACCCACGAATGACCACGTAGAATTGACGTGACTAATCTGCGAGCATTTCTTAGCCAGATCGATGCACCTGCATCCGGCATCGCACTTTTGAGACCTTGCAATTGCCATCCCACCCGAGAACCCAACGCATCATGAAGTGATCCATGGGAGGATTTTCCTCCTTAAGAGGACCAGAAAGTGGGTATTTGGACTCGGACACGGAGCCGACTGCAGCGGCAAACTCAAGGGACCCAATATAGCCCTTCGCTCCTTTAAGCTGAGATCACAGACACTGCTGAGCCACCATCCTGCGACCATTGCCTTCCTCTGGAACACATCAACTAGTGTGCTTCCCAACAGTTGGCAGTCCTAGCTGCGGGCAACGGTGCGGAGTGGGTAGCAAATACGTTATTGCCCAGACCGCCCATGCATGTAAAGACCTGCTGTCTCATCCCCTCCCCCGCGAACCACGGATTCCTTCAACGGCCAGTTCAAGGCCAATGAAAGCCTTCATAGAACCACCTACCCATGGTTCCCAGCCACGCTTTTATTTCTCATGTTCCTCGATCAAACCATGGAATGAATAGGGATCTCAAGCAACTGCTGACGAAGACACATCCTTGGCGACCACGAAACTCAGAGAGACCCAAGGACGTTACAAACAGTCGCGCTTTAGAATTATGCTCAATGAGAAGCCAACATTTACTTGCGTTCCACGCCAGAAAAAAGTAGTGCATTTCTGTAAATACACTACCCTTAAGAAAGTTTTGCCAATTATGCATTGATTCAGTTTGACGCTAAATTACAACATCCAGGAGGTGTCACAAATCAGCTCTAATTCAATAAAGGAAAATGACAAATTTAGCCCCTCGACGTTTTCAACTTTCTACGAATTACATTCAAGGTAATGCTGAACATCACGAATTAGCGGACGGAACAAATATCAAACAATAAGTGAGCGTTTCAAACTGCGAGGTAGGTCGATGGGTCAAAATAGGACAAACTGAGAGAAATCACACAACCCACTTTATCAGATTCGCTGCCCAGGAAGCTAGAAAAACCAAGTTGGTATGTCTAATTTGTATGGCAATATTTAGGTCTTCTTGAGTTCTCTACATAATATTATCGCCAGTGTAACTAGTATTTCAATGTTCTAATTGATTTACGATTCATGGAGGATATGGGGAAAGACCACGACGCACCGCCTCGGGAGCAGCAAAAAACATCAGTGGTGAAGCACAGCGCAATACGGCATCTTAGACGCGAGTCCAGTCACATCGCCACGGGGAACTCAGCATGAAATGCTGCACAAACATTACAGGTTGGGTTAAGTATCGAGCACAAGCCCATCCAAGCAAACAGTAAATGCGAGGCCCGCTTTTAAATAAAGGTTCTAGGGTGTGTGCACGTGGGAGCGTTTAGCGGGTTGAGTTGGAAACCAGAGGGATCCTGAGTCATAAATCAGGACTGCTGTTATGAAGACTTGATAATTAGGATAGGTCTCAACTTACAATTCTTGCCAGCGACCAATTTGTTCCAATGCAAGAAAGTAACGCTCCCCACGGGTTTGACTGACTACAGGGTAAAAAAAAGTAGAATCAGTATACGATGGCTTGCTTACATCCGCAAAACGTTTTATGAACTAGTTTTTGGCGTTCAATGACGCGCTAAGAAAATATTCATCTAATTCCAAAAGAAAAGTTTTTTTTACGTCTCGTCGACGTCTTGCACTCAAACCAGGAAGACACTAAGCAAATACACCCACCTATAACCCTGATTTCAACGGTTTGGCAAAATGCCATGCAAGTGGACACGGTGCTTGTAAGAAACGCCGATGGAGCCAAGGTAGGAATGTCTTGCCAGCGTATCATTTCTACCCTCTTTGAAGACTTGTGCCGCTTTATAATAAAGCCGAATTACCAATCAGCGACGACAGGGATTCTCGTACGATGTGTGTCGGGAGACGGAACTCACACATAGAAAAGACGAATTCAAGCACATAGGGGACAGCCACCTTGGTCTTGAACAATGTAGCCCTGGTAGGCTGTTTTTAAGGGGACGGATACCAGTAATGATGGCAGGGTTGACACCGATAGTGCCTACTCTCGATTCTTTTCAAAGTCCAAATTACAGAAGGGTTGTAGCTGCTAGAGCTAGAAGTGAGGTCGGAGACCTCAAAAAACTCTATACCCAAAACGTGAAAGCACTAAAGGCTACAGTTTGCCCACCAGCTTGTGGATCGCCGCATGTCATTCTAGAAGAATATTCACAACGAGAACGAATGAAATGATTAGGGACCTAAGCGTAAACTTCTCTCGCAAAGTTGGTTTTGAACCGAAATGGTATGATTCCCTGAAATATTGCACGAGCTAAATGCTTGAGATGGTCATTGCGCAATGCGAGCAGCTTGCGTAGGCAACGGGCTGATGCGACACTGTCCGCAACTGGGCCAGGTATTTGCTTTGACAGATTTACTTCCCTCATGATCTGCATTTCGCAATATAGACAAAGGAACATGACAACCAGTGAG